GAGGGCAGTGTCACTGGCCCTCATATGTGGGATCCGAACCGGGGCCCTCTGGCATCCCAAGCGAGTTCTTAACCATCGCGCCACTCGGCCGGCCCCAAATAAGCCAGAGTTTTAATTTAAGACATTTATACAACAAGGAAAGAATGTTCTTATATTGCTGATCAGAGTGCAAGTTTGTACAAAACTGAAAAGGGATTAGACTATAGGTATCAAAAAACAGGAAAAGCCCTTGCCTTATCAACTCCATTTTTCACAATTTAACTTATGAGAATAACCAGAAATGCCAGCATGGATACATATAAAAAGATGTTCATCACAGGATTACTTATAATAGTAAAAATTTAGAGAGAACCAGAATTTTCAACAGTAAAGGAATAGACAAATAAATTATGGCATATCCATATAATGAAAATTAGGAACTATAGAGACAGTGTTGAGAAATAATGCTTATAATGAGAAATAAAAAAAGCAAGGTACAAGTAATATATGCAGGCTCACCTCAACTAAGTGAAAAAATTAAAAATAGGTAAGTAAATATACAGAAAAAAAACTGGAAAGAAATATACCAAAAGTTTAATTGTTATTTCCAGGTGATGATAAATGTTTTCTTTTGTGTTTTTCTGTATTATCCAAATTTTCCGCAAAGGGCATGCATTATTTAATGTTAAAAAGCAAACAGTAAGTGTTTTGTTAGAGGGGTAGGACTGGGTACAGAAAGGCACAAAGGAGGCTATTTTGGGCGCGGGCACAGCTTGTGCACAGCATGAAAGCGGGATGAACATACGAAGTGTATCATGGTCCGTGGGGAGATCAATCCTAAAAGTGGGATCGTTTGGGGAAGCTGTGAGAAATGAAATGGAAGGGGTACAAAGGAAGTGGGTAATGGAGGCTTTTGAAAGACAGGCAGACAGGTTGGAACTTGGCTGTATCAGCAAGAAGAGGCCCCTGGAGATTCCTAATCAAAGAACGTGCTAGGAGCAGCACTTCAGAAAGCTGAGGCGGCAGCTGTTTGCAAGGTGGCCTGGGGGACCCCGGGGAGCAGGCGCGGGTGGGGGGGGGGAGGCTGTCTGGAGCAAAATTATCAGACAGGAAGCCGCCTCTGACTCAAGGTGAAGAAAGCTGGACCAGGTATAGAAACAGAAGGAAAAGGTAAACCTGAAAGGTGCATCGAAGGAAAAAGAACATTCTTGGTGACTGATACAATATAGAGAATCAAAGAGAGGCAAGCATCCATGATGACACCAAAGTTTTAATCTGTGTGATTAGAAGAAAGTGGTGACAATGACAAGGATGGTTGGGAAAGACAACTGATTTAGAACAGAAAAGCAGGAGGCCAGTTTGGGACATGAGGAATTTGAGGTGAGGGTGAGGAGATTTGTAAGAATATGGGACATTTTGACTCTGATGTTTTTGGACCCAGGGGGTATTTTGGCTTCAAGGATATTTTGACTCTATTTATGAAAGCAAATATGTAACTCAAAATTTATACTAACGTTTAAAAATGCTTTTCAAGAAGATATTTTTTGAAATCATCTCTACCCAGACAATATCATTCCTTGATGAGTTTTCCTACCACAGTTCAGTAAACTGTTTCCAAATCTTTTGGTTTTTTTATTAAAATTATTTTCCTTGAAGCACATTATTTTTCATTTACGCCTTATGTTGTTCGAGCCAACCCTGTTTTGTTCATAACAAATGTCGTCTATGGTAACGTCTGCCACCTTAGAATTTCTTTTGTAAACACTCTTTCTTTCCAGTTTTCTCAGGTCCAATTTATAGATCTAAACTTTGCCGAGAAGGTTTTACTACTGTTCGTTTTATTTTGTGTTGACCATTTGTGCCAGGAATTGGGTGAAAGATGGATCAAACACAAGGTCTGGGTGCACCGCAGGAGTCAAAATATTGGAGTCAAACATGTCTTTGAGGGAAGGGGGTCACAAGATTTGTTTTTCGTGTTTTTTTTTGGTTCCGTCATTTTATAGGCATTGAACCAAGGCAGATAATGGATTCATCCAAGTGTGGGCTCAGGTAAAGCAGTTCCTGGCCTCTGACTCACCTGGAGCCTTTTGGACAAGCCCTTAATGCCTCTACCTGTTGCTCAGCCTCATCGTGGGATGGGGGAGGGGAAGAGGAAAGGTGGCCTGTGTCATGTACCCCCCTACACGCCACCGAGGCCCGTGAGGATTCTTGAGGAAGTAAGATGCTGAGGTGTTCTCTGAGTGGTTTGCAGAGAGAGGCAGGAAACAGGAGTGTCAGGAGCCCTTCCAGGTGGTGATTCTAGCTTTGAATTCTCCCTTGAAGGAAATGCAGAAAGATATGGATGAGAAGATGGATGTGTTAATAAACACACGCAATAGCCGCAAGCTGTAAGTGTAACCTGCACCCATCTCTCCTCATCCCTAAAGAACCTCCCCCCTTCCCTCTGCCAAATGTCCTTGGGGCTCAGAGGACCCTCAGACCCTTCAAGGGGCTGGCTGAGGTCCTGTTGCCCCAGGGGCATGGAGCCAAGCCTTCCGCAGCCCCCTGCGCTACGGCTGCCTCCTTGCCATGTTGGAAATTCCCTCCCCAGCTCTGCCCCTCCCTGGCTCCCTGTTCCCCTTAGAAGAGGACCAAAGGAGCGTCAGGAGCTCAGGCTGTTAGGAAAGACTGACCCACAGCTCCGGCTCAAGGACATGGATGGCGCCCACAGAGCGTCACTTCCTCTTCACAAGAAGACCGCGGCACTACAAACACCAAAAACGGACCCGCTGGGCTCCCTCCATCCGTGTGAGACCCGCTGTGTAAGTGAAGCCCCGCCCCCACCCTGCTGGGGTCCCTTTTCAAAAGCCCTTGGCTCCGGCCCCTCCCCCACCTCCCCTGGGCCTCTCCTGGCTCCCTCCGTTTCTCTTGCTGTAAGGGGACTGGTCCCACCCGCCCTGTGGTCCCCAGGAGGCCTCTGGAGCCTGGCACTCTCTCTGGGGTCTTGCCCTCCAGGCCTGGGAAGATCCCGACATCACGACCAAGTAGGACTCAAGCCTGGATGTGCCTGCCCCGAGTGCCACTGGATTGTTCTGGCCTTTCCTATAGCAAGACTTGACGTGGTGCCCAGCAGGCTGGCCATGGACCAGGGAAAAATGATCTTCCATGTGCCGTCTCTGTCCTCTACAGGAGGACATGTTTGTTGTGTGCCCTAAAGAACAGCTACAATCAGGGGTAGGTAGAGCCACACGAGAAGTGCCTTGTCCCCCTCGGGCGCCCCGTCATCCCAGAGGTCATGTGCTTGGGCTGTATTGGCATCCAAGCCTTCCCTGCGGTCCCTGCAGACTCTGCCCCAACCACATCCACGCAGGCTTAGAGGCCGTCGCACCAGGAAGGAAGACTCGGGTAGCTCAGCCTGGCCTGCAGGCTTCGGTGGAGGGGCGGGCGGGGGCCTCACCAGCTGCTGACCTGACCTTGCCTCAGCCCCCTGCCTTTCTCCCCATCTAGCAGGAAACTTCCACACCGGGCCTGGGCACCCTTCTCACCCTCGCCATCTGGAGCGCCGTCCTGATGTATCTGTGCTTCAACCCTGTGTGACTGAGGACGTGCACCCAACTCAGTGCTGACGCAGAGCCTGCTGGCAGCTGCAGCTCGCCCTCCCCCAGCCCAGGCGCTGCACAGTGAAGGCTTGTTGCCCTCCTCCATACCACCCCGCCCCAGGCCTCCTTCCGCCCGGATTAAAACCTTCATTTAAAGTCAAAGGGGGGTGTCCCGGCTTTGAATATCAGCCCCAAACTTGAGTATGTAAAGAGGGTCTCTTTTTTGGTTCTCAATCAGTGTATTCCAGACTCCAAACCCTCTTCCTGCTTCCTGGTGGGTTAGCGGGGAAATGCTGTCCTGGTCATTCTTGCGGTCACGCCCTCCCTCTCCACCATCTCCCTCTCCTCTGCCTGGTTCTGCCAACGTTCCAGGTCAAACGAGAGGGGAGGCCCTGAAAATATCAGATGCTCTTCTGCGTGGTCACAGGAGACACCCCCACTGGCCTAGCCACCTGCTCTCTCCGTGTTCTTGGCTCCTGCACTGTGTATGGGGGGAGGGGCGGGCGCACGTGGGGGCCCCTGAGAGTCTTGGCGATGCAGGGAACCCCAGGCCCAGGGTCTAGTACGCAGGAGGACGCAGGGCCCCAATGCTCATAGGAGCTCGGTCTCCTGGGGCTCTGAGGACCCACCCTCCTCCCCCACCCAGAGGAGTCATATCCCCGAGGCCTCTACAGAGGTGGGGCTGAGCCAGGGGCCTCCCACTGCTCCACTGGGTCCTGCCCCGAATCCGAATCCCCGGAGGGAAGATGAGGCTTGGCTGCCAGCTTCAAATGCCTTTTTCGGCTTCCGGAGGCGGCCCGTTTCCCTCCTCACAGCGCCCTTCCACCTTCAAAGCCAGCGACGCCCGCAAGTCCCGCTCAGCTCATTCTGCGTCACTCTGACCCTGGTTCTTCTGCCTCCTGCTTCCACCTTTTAAGGACCCTTGTGGTTACGTCCAGCTCACCTAGATAATACAGGATAACCTCCGTATTTTAAGGTCAGTGGATGAGCAACCTTACTCCCCTTTGCCACGTAACGTAACAGTCACAGGTTCTGGGGATTATAGGGCATGCATATCTTTGGGAGCTGCTGTTCTGCCTACCGCCGGGGACTCCCCAGACCGCGTGCCTTGATTACCAAACTTCCAAACACTTGGGAATACTTCATGGTTCAGCTCTGTGCTGTGGTGGTTTTAAAATAGGCCCACAAATTCTTTGCTACTCCTTCAAGAAGAGCCTAATCCCTGTCCTCTGGAGTGAGGGCTAGACGCAGCGACGAGTTCCAATGCCTAGAATATGGCAGAGGTGATGGTGTGTTACTTTCAAGAGTCTGTCATCAATGACATGGTGACTTCTCTCTGGCTCTCTCTTGGACACCAAGAAATCCAATTGGGCAAGTTGGGTTGGATAGCCACCTTGGTCTGATCAACTGGGACCTGTAGCACAAAGAAGAAGTGGGGTGCTGGTTGGGGAGACCCCCTCCTCCCCGAGGCTGTATACAGGACAGAAATAGCATCTTTGGCAGAAGAGACAAGGTGAAGTACAGTCCCATTTCCAATGAGGTGACATTGAGACCTACAGAAAAGGCACCAGCTTACCAGCAAAGCTGGCCCACGTGCAGTGTCAGCAGGGACGATGGGCTGTGGCTCCTCAAGGACAGGTGCGACAGCTGTTTGACAGCCAGGCAAACCTGTCCTCTCAACACACACTCAACCCCACGCACCCTGCTGTTGCCTCTGAGTTGGATGATGTGGACCTGGGGCTTGGGGGAGCTTGGACAGGATCAAGGGCCAGGGACCCCAGAGAGCACTGCCACAGCCCCTGGGGCTTGATGAGCACCGCGGGATCATTTGCACAAGGAAGAGTCAGCACTTTGGCTCATCATGGCAGCTCTGGTTCCCTGATGACCTTGTCTTAGTTCTTAAAACTGGCCTCTGCTTAGGTTTGAAAACTCGTCGGGGGTGATCTGGCCACAAAATCGAGTCTCAAGTACCCTCAAGTCTCCCTCATCTCATGAGCCAACCAGAAGACAGGACACAGTCACATATGTGTATTTCCAGATGTGGTCTGGGATGAAAATCTGGAGTCTGGAGTTTTCTTGGGACCTCCCTCCCCCACCCCACCCCCCTCCAGCCTGCTTGGTCCTGGAGGGACCCCCGTAGGAGGAGACCCCTACTGGCACCCTGGCACCCTTCAGGCATGTCCTGAGGCCACATGTCCTAGAGGTGGTCAAGAGGAAATCACCCAGGGTAGGCAGCAAAAGTTTAGGCAACATTTCCTGAGCACCCGCCAAGTGCAGGGCTCTGACCTCCATGCTGAGGATAAAGATGGCGATGACATAAACGCTGCCTCTACACGGAATAGCTTCATGGACAGGAAGAACTTGGTGGCTGGAACCAGTAAGGGGGTGGGGAACATCTCTAAGCGGCCAAGTGGCCGAGTCACTGAGTCCTTGAAGAGTTGTTCAGAGGCCGAGGGCAGGCCAGCCGGGATGGCAGGGGCTTCGTGGGAGTGAGAGACGGAGGCGAACAAAGGCAGGGACATGGGGATGTGAAGGGCACATGTGGGACCTTGGAGTGTAGATTTACAGATAGGAGTGGGGAGAAAATGTCAGACAGCTAAGATCAGATCAGCAATGCAAAGCCTGGACCATTGATGAGTTTGGATGTGATCCCACAAGTCGTGGGCACTGGGGGAGCTTTTGGAGCAAGGGAGGCAGTTGGAGCGGAAAGCCGTGGCCAAGGGCAGTGGCTAAGCACCTGGAAGGGCACAGTGGATTCCAGGTTGAGAAGGAACTACTGGGTCAAGGGAAGTGGTTCAGGACCCAGATGCTAAGAGCCTGAGGATGGGGGGGGGGGGGGGAATTGGGGGATTCAGGAATGGACACTGGAAATGTTCTAAAGATGGCATGGAAATGGGCAGCTCATTTGCTATAGGAGAGAGAGAGAGAATGTCAAACTTGAATGGCTAAGTGGTACCAATGTGAGAAACAGGGACTGTGAGCCACGCATCCACGTGTGTCAAGTGGCAGCGACAGTGGGTAGTAAATGACGTCTGTGCAGTCTCTGCCCTCAAGCAACTCACACCTCCTCCTCTCATCTTCAGCTCTTCCAGAAAAGGTCCTGAGAGCCCTCAAAGATGTGCCATGGAGGAAGTGATAGAGACCCCAGCGAGCTGGTGCTTTTTCTGGAGGTGTCAAGGTCACCTCATCAGGAATGGGCCGCTTCATGTGGTCTCTTCTGCCAAAGACGCTATTCCTGTCCTGTGTTCAGAGCTTCTTTGGGGGGGGGCATCTCCCCAAGCCCCCACTTCTGTGTGCTATTAGGTCCCAGTCGGGTGGATAGCCAACCCAAATTGCCCAATTGGATTCCTTTCCCTAGGAACTTGGAATTGGAATTCGATGAGACTCAGCTGGCCCCCAGCACTGAGGCCTTATAATGGGAGCTGGAGAAGCACCTGCCATCAATTGGCTGACGAAGCAGAGAAAGCTGACCTACAGCAACAAACACCTAGTTTGCAGACAGAAGAATGAAACAGGGGAGCTGCGGGAAGTAAGGACCCAGGCAGTTCCAGAGAGGGGTTGGTTGCCAGAGCCCCTTCCCAGGCCCCGGGCCCTAGGCCCCAGGCCCTGCTGGTCCGGTGCCAGCCCAGCCTTAGCTGTGTGAGAGCCCCTGGAGCCTTGAACTGCAGTGCCCAGTCCTGCAAGTGGCTTTCTGTTACCACCAAACAAGCCTGAATAAATGCCCCACCGTTAGAAGGAATCTTGGAGATTGCCTTCAATTTACAAGGCCCAGAGAGGCACAGTGAGGCGCTCTCAGCCACACAGCCAATTGGTAGCAAAGTCAGGACCAGAAGCCAGGTTTTTTGACTCCCGGCCCAGCACTCTCTGCTCTGGGCTCCCTGGGGCCGGAGGCTCATCCAAGGGGAAGGAGGTGAGGCAGGAACGCAGACCTTGGGTCAGCCGTATCTGGATACAAATGAGTGGTGTGGCCGCAAGTGTCACCTCTCTGAGACTGGGTGTTTTCATCTGGAAGATGGGGATAATCATGCCTAATTCACAGGGGGGTTGTGAGGGTTAAATGAGAGTATATGCAGAGCAATTCAGTTTTTTTAAAAAAAAACTGCCATGACCACAGTGATGATGAGGTCAGAATTGCCTTTCCTAGATTAAAAGTCCTTCAATTCTCAATGTCGGTTTCCTGATACCGTGACAGACTCCAGTCACAGCCAGGTGTGCAATGAAATGAACATTGATCTATTTTTATTTTAAAAATAAACAAATGACCTAAAGCTGTTTTGAGAGGAGGAAGGATGTGTATATTAAGAAATCAAATGATAGGAAAATATACAAATGGTATGGGGATTGGGACCGGTTGCTCCAGGGGAGAGAATGGGTC